CAGGAATTACAATGGCGGTAGGAATTTCAACAGTGGTTGTAGGATTTTCAGTAGGGGCTGTAGGATTTTCAGCAGGTTTTGTAGTGGTGGTAGGATTGATAGAGTCTTGAGGTATAATGAGAAGGTTGTTCAATGTCTCATCTTCACTAAACATCTCCCCCTGAAGATGAGAGGCTGAAAAATATGGCTCGTTTTCGAAGAAAGTAACATCAAGGGACACTGGTGTAGGGTTGGAGAATAACACTTGTACCCCTTTTGTGTAGGTGAGTATCCAAGAAAGACACAATTGTGAGCTCTAGGATCAAGTTTAGATCGGTTAGGTTGATGATTGTGGACAAATGCTTTGGAACCGAAAGTTTTGGTTGGGAGATTAGGAACACAAAACAAGGGAAATATTTTTTGAAGAGTATGTAAAGGTGTTTGAAAGTTTAATACCTTTGATGGGAGTCTGTTTATAAGATAACAAGCAGTGAGAACAATTTCTCCCCATAAATACTTCGGTACACCCATAGTAAACATAAGAGCACGAGCCACGGCTAAAAGGTGTCTGTTTTTCCTCTCGGAAACCCCGTTTTGTTGAGGGGTGTCAGGACAAGAACTCTGATGTATGATTCCTTGCTCAGAAAGATAAGGGCTTAGGATAGAATTGAAGTACTCTCTCCCATTATCAGTTCTAAGGGTATGGATTTTGGAATTGAACTGAGTTTGAATCATTGAATGAAAACTTTGGAAGACTCTAGAGACTTCGATTTTTTCTTTGAGAAGATAGATCCAACAAACTCTAGTGTGGTCATCAATGAATGTTATGAACCACCTAGCCCCTGTGACATTTTTTACTCGACTGGCTCCCCATAGATCACTGTGGATTAAAGAGAAAGGTTGAGATTGAACATAAGGTTTCAAAGGATAAGGGACACAAGTATGTTTAGACAGTTGGCAAACTTCACAATTCAAGGAACTTATTTTCTTATTTAGAAATAGTAGAGGAAACAGTTTTTTCAAGTACGTAAAATTAGGGTGTCCTAGTCTACGGTGCCATAGCATGATAGATTCTTCTTTCGATGTAGATAAGACCATCCCTTCTTGTGAACTGTTTTTATTTCAAATATATAAGCCATTATCAACTTTAGCAGTGCCAATCATCTTCCCCGATTCCTGTTCTTGAACAACACAACCGAAAGCAGAAAATTCAACAAGTACTTTCTCATCCTTGGTAAGCTTGCTAATTGAGAGTAAATTACAAGAAAGATTTGGAACATATAAAACTTTATCAATGGAAAAATTTTCAGTAAGTCTGATCGTTCCAATTCTAGCCACCGGGGAGTAAGATCTATCAGCTATGCGAATCTGAGAGTGATCATGACAAGGTAAATATGTGTGAAACAAACTTATATTACCTGTCATGTGGTTGGATGCACCCGAATCTAGTATCCAGATTGGTTCATGTGTAGTATTTAAGGCAGTACCTTGAATAGCTAGTGATCCAATGGTTGTAGGAGTCCCGAGGAGTTTATGAAGAGCCTCAAGTTGAGTTTTGGTGAGCCGAACATCCTGGGCATCTTCTTCAGTAGTAGATATCATTGTTGTCTTGTTTTCTTTATGATTTTTATCAGGATAACCATGGAGTTTAAAGCATTTCTCCTTGGTATGTCCAACCCGGTTACAGTGGCTACACCATGGCCTATTTGAACCGGAATTAGAGAGAGTTTCATTGATATCACCCATGAGAGAAGAAAAAAAGAAAAAAATGTTTAGGAAGAGAGATGAGAGACAAATGAGAAGGATCGAATGAATCCTATGGCTCTCGATACCATGAACAAATTTAGGAAGAAGAAAAGTCTCTTATTTCTTCGAATAGTAGTACACCCTTTTTAACATAGCAGAAAAAAATAAAAAAGGAAATAATCTCTAATATTTACAAGGAAATAATCTCTAATAATAAGCATATCCCTAAAAATCAGTAATTAGATTATGACTAATATTTACAAGGAAATTCCTAGAATTAAGGTAGAGAATCTCCTTAATTTAAGGATTTCCAACAGTTGAGATTTAAATTTAACTGTTCGTTTGGCCAAGGGACTAGCTGCCTGTTTTTTATTAGTAGCCTTACATTCTGCTGAATATTTATTAATATATTTTCAATGACTTGACTTTCAGGTGTACCAAAGCTTAAGAGATCAGAGCTTGAAGCAGCCTGTGAAGATTTCAGCAACGTTATTGGTTCTTCAACAGTCGGGACTGTGTACAAAGGGACACTGTCTACCGGAGTTGAAATAGCTGTGGTCTCTGTCCCATTTAAATCTGCCAAAGATTGGTCGAAGAACCTAAAAACACAGTTCAGGAAGAAGGTACTGTACCGAAAATTTCTATCTAGATGTTCGTATTTTGATATGATCTTATGGTCTGCTTAACTATTTTACATTTATGGTTTCAGATTGATACGTTATCAAAAGTAAACCACAAAAATTTTCTCAATCTTCTTGGATATTGCGAGGAAGATAAGCCTTTCACTAGGATGATGGTTTTTGAATATGCTCCAAATGGCACACTCTTTGAGCATTTACATAGTAAGTACCAGATTTGAGTTTTTGGTTTCCTTTCTGGGTAGACCTCTAACTTATTGTTCATCACCAATAATTCCTTCTTTTTTTTTTTTTTTTTGCTCAGTAGGTTTGTCATATATCTAACATAGACTTTAAGCTTTTAGCCTAAAGAAGGCAACCACCAAATTCTGCCACTTTGCATAGAATCTGAAACTAAGTTGCCTTATATGTGTTCTCAATACATAATTTTTCATTTTCATAATTTCTTATTCTTTTATGTTGGACCATCCTTTATGGTTTGACCTTTTCATAATAATGTGAAATGACTTGGTCAGTCTGTGTAACTTGCTGCTTTTAACAAAGAGAAAGGAAACTCATCCCACTCTTTTGACTTCTGGGATATGAATGCCGTGCTGTAGACTTTGCTGTGGAATGTTTTAAACAGGAGTTGTATAAACGAGCTGTTTGTTTGAAACCGGATATGCTGAAATCCCCTTATATCAGAGGCATTAAGCCTATTAATTTAGTATAGAAAAATAATGGAAAAGGAACAGGAATAGAAACACTAGTTACCTTCTATTTTCATGCTAATGACTTCCGAGATGAACAGTTAATCAAGCATATGGTTTCAAGTTTCCTTTATGCTTAGAATTATGCATGATAGTTGGCCATAGAATTCCTTTCATTAGAAGATCATATGTTTCCCGACTTACCATGAAGAAGCAACTTTTATGTTTGTCAGTTGTAGCAAGCATTTTCCATTTATCTTTTCCTTGGAGCTTAAAGCTTTGAAGTAATCATTTCGGCTTTTCCATTGATATTGCAGTTAAAGAATCCGAGCACTTGGACTGGGCTATGAGGATGAGAATTGCAATGGGCATGGCTTACTGCCTCGAGCATATGCACCAGCTAAACCCACCTGTTCCCCATAACAACCTGTCCTCCTCAGCTGTCAATCTAACAGAAGATTATGCAGCCAAAATATCGGATCCGTGTTTCTGGAATGAGTTGACTTCATCGGAGAGGGAAGCGGACAGAACAAACCTTTCTGATACCACAGTAGCAAGTCTAGAAAGTAACATTTATACCTTTGGTGTATTATTATTTGAAATAGTAACGGGTAGGATGCCTTACCTCGTGGATAATGGTTCATCTGACGATGGGGCATCGGACTACTTGAGAAGGGAGCAAGCCCTCATAGGGATGGTTGATCCCACTCTTAACTCCTTTGACAGGAATCAACTTGACAAGATTGGGGAGGTCATAAAATCTTGTGTCGACCCTGAGCCTGGACACAGACCGGATATGAAACAAGTCAGTGCAAGATTGAGAGAGATTACTGCAATTGCACCTGACAATGCAATCCCGAAACTCTCTCCTCTTTGGTGGGCGGAGCTTGAGATCATGTCTGCTGAAGCAAACTAGAGGATGAACATGACTTTGTAAGTACCGAGCGTGGATGTTTTCCTGATCTTGTGTCAGTGGAGAGGCAAAAAGAGGTTTGTCTGGTCAGCATTGGTTGTATTTATTTTAAAGTAATGGAAAGTTTGCTGTATATATTTGAGATAGAAAATCTGGGTCCTTGTTTGGTTTTCAGTGTGAATACATTAAAGAAAACAGAAAGGCGATATTGCAATCCTCTTGATTTCATATTGTTCATTGTTACCATCATTTTTTTTTTTGCAATGATCAATCAATTTATTGTCCAATCTTGCAGGCTCTCTCCCACCTGAAAATGATGCTTGTAACTGGAGTTCCATCTCTTTTTTTTAATAGTTGCAGGTGTCGCTTGTAAGTTGCATGAACCAAGTTAAACTCTAGAGAGTTTATAGCATGAACCAACTGAGCTAAACTCTGAGGGTACATAAACTGCTTTTTGTACTTGTAATTAAATGGCATGAGCAAATCAAACATTTTAGGTCTAAAAAGTTGCCTCCTAACTTCGTTGACTTACAGCCGGAAGACTTGAATTAAGTTTATTTCACACCTCTTGAGAAATGCAACCGAGCCTCTAACGTTATGGCAAAACTGGTAATCCTTCAAGCTTTTGGATTCTTAGTTTACTGATCAGTTTAACAATGTTTATCCATCCATGTTAGTAAACTGAACTCTGTTGTATGCCGGCATTGCTATTTTTGCTGTTACAATTCCTTTTCATTTTTCCTTGGTATTAAACTCAAGCATTACTTATAAAAGGCTGAGATCCAACAAAAGATCAAAGTAAATGGCATAAGGCACATAATTCATTACAGATCAAATTGTCACATTGAGAAACAAAGATCAAAGCCTTCTGAAACCTGCAACCTCAATAAGTCGGTCAACTTCATGCATGCACTTCAGCTGGTACTCGGTTGGACACTCAAGGCTGTTACATTAAAAAAAATATATGCCAAGTAAGCATATATGCACAAGCAATGAGCTACACCATAGCAAAATATCCAAGCTCTCTCAAACACAATAAATTTCTTTCTCCTAGAACTCCAGTGGCATTCCAAACATCTTATTTATATCATCCATTGCTTCTTTGGTAAACACAGTTGGCTCAAATAAATCACTACCATTTAATTTGCCGGATGATTTTGCTGGGGGCTGAGGTTCCTGATTTTCCAAATCATCAGGAAGTATAGAAAACCCACCATGATCTTGTTTCTCAACGGGTGCTTTGTCCTGCTTTCTTTTTGCCCTTACAAAATCTATTGGCTTTCCAAACATGTTATTGATGTCTTCCATAGCCTCCTTCAAGTTAACTGTAGGGTCTACTAAGCCATGGTGGCAAACATTTTCTACCACTGGCTCATCAGAAATGGTCGAACCGACGAACCTGTGAACCACTGTATCCTCTCGAATCTTCGGTCGGATTGCACTTTGTGCATCAATATCATCTGAACTTTCAGGAGAAAAATCATTAGGATTTGGAAACACAAAGACGTTGCAACCTTCTCCTAAACTTTGAACCTCTGACTGTTCTAAGTTTTCTTTATCATTTTCCTCTCCAACCTCACTATTTCCTTCATCATCATCAACGTATATTTCGAATGATTCCTTCTTAGCCTGGCAAATTTGAGCTTTATTCTGTAACCCCTTTTCTTCATGTTGAACTGATGAGTTGCTTCCTCTATCCAAGTTTTCATCAAACACCTTAAATCCTATTTTCAAACTATGATCTTCTTTCAGCTGCATTTGAGATGATCTCCTCCCAATAGGAGCTGTCTCTATAGGTTCTCGAAACATGCTATTGATTGCATTCATTGCCTCTTTCATGTTTATTGTAGGATCAACTAGTCCATGATGGCAGACATCTTCAGCTTCAGATTTAGCAACAATGACAGTATCAACAAACTTCACGACCACCGTATCATCATTCCCGACCTTCCTGGGTTCATCCGACACCCTTTCCATCAAAGCTCTCCCCCTTTCGCTCTCCACTTTTTTACCATTATGTAATGATGAAGACCTCTTATGACTATTTTCAACTATGCATATTGTTTCACTGTTTTCTTTCGACTCTCTGCATTGGAGAGGCTTTCTAGCTGCTCTTCCTTCCTGGTGCCGTGGCACACCAAAGCAATCGTCAGATTGTGAAAAACAAAACAAAGACAATGAAAAAAAAATATTAGATAAGCAACAAAAGCACAACCTGCATTTTCTTCTTCTTCTTGTGTCTCTCAATACGATTCAGGAATAGCTCATATGATTTTTGTAACTCATCAACCGGCTCTGCAAGGCTGTTCAACAAGTGATGGAAATTAAATAAAGCACGACTTCAGGTTTCCAAAGGTATTTCATTGAAAGAAAGGAAAACTTCAACATCATAATCAAGTAAGACAATTCGAACCTTCCACACTGAGCAACAAACAAACTTTAAGCGGATTATTAGACAATTCATTGCAACCATAAGGAAAACTGAGAGAGAGAGAAAAAGAAAAGAAAGAAAGATAAAACCCTTACTTTTGAACACCCAAAAGGTACATTTTTTCAGCCTCATCAAATTTCTTGATTTTCTCGTAGTAAAGTGCATATGCTTGATAGAACAATGAACGTTTTGTCCCTATTTGACTCATTTCCATTCTTCTCAACAGCACCCTTGGATCATCCATAAAATCCATCTAACAAATAAACCCAAACAAACAAACAAATAAATAATAAAACCCAGAAACCAAATAATAGTAAATTTCCATAAAGAATGAACATCAAAGATTCGTTTCGTTATGGGCAGATTGGCTGTTTACCAACTGTAACCAAACCCGGAGGTAGCGTAGATCGTCGTGGTAACGGCGGTCGGATTCGAACGTTTGCGTACATTTTTGCAAAAAGCGAGGTAGCTTCTCGTTTAAAATATGGGGTGGAACCGAATCTTTTATTTTCTTTATCCCTCTGCGGAAACAACGAGTTGATATTAATACTTCAAAAGAAAGAAAAATGGTAAAAAAAAAAGGAGAGGAGAAAAGAGAGTACCGCAGCCAAGGGAGAAGAGGGTCTTTGCCAGAATAAGATTTGATTTCAGATATTACTGAAGAAAATAGATTGCCGTTCATTGTCAAGCTTTTTTCTCCCATTTTTGTTTTCCTTTTGCAGCGAGGAAAAGAAGGTTTTAGCCCTTGATTCTGGGACGATGGATTTTTTTTAAAATTTATGCTGAGGCGCGTATCGGGTCGGGTCATTTTTCTGATATTTGGTTGTCGGATCTGAATCATGGTTCGGTTCATCACTTAGGATTTATGATTACTGCGATAAAAATAAGATAAATTACGTATTTAGTACATAAACTATCAGTTTTAGTCTATTATATTACTTACACTTTCAAAAATTTTAAAACATACCTAAAGTTTAGTTTTTGTTTTAGTTTAGTAACCGCTCAAAGTTTAACTTTAAACTTTGATAAAATTTAAAGTTTAGATACTAAAATGAACCAAACTTGATAGTTTAAGTACTAAACGCGCTAAGTTTTTAACGGTGGTGGTACTAAAATAAAACAAAAACTAAACGTTAGGCATGGTTTTGAAAATAATGAAAGTTTATGTACTAAACGGACTAAAACTGATAGTTTAAGTTCTATATGTGTAGTTTCCCCTAAAATTTATTTATAATACCTCATTCAAATTATTTATAGAACTTTTAAAAAAATCGACCATCAATTAATAATTTTTAGAATAAATGGTCATGCAAAACCCCAAATTTTGTCTTGTGACTAAAATGTAAGTTTTGAAAGTTTAGTGACTAAAGTGTAAACTTTGAAAAGTCATGGGAACAAAAAATGAAATTTTTGAAAAGTTATATATTTTAGCCCATAAATGAATAGTTTGGCCTAAAAAAAGGATTTTTGTGGGAATCATATTTTTGATATATAATTTGTGTTAAAAGTTATAAAGCGATAAAGTTCAATATTAAAATCGAATAATCGGATCGAATCAAAATTTTATGAAATTTGAAGGATGTTAGAAAATAGTTGGAAATATTATTGCCATATTTTAGGTCAGAGAAATTTAGTACAGAACAGTGCAATTTTTCAGTTTGGGTCGAAGAGTGGAGTTTTAGTGACTAAAATGCAATTTTAAAACATTATATGGCCAAATTATAAAGTCAAAGCCAAGTCGATTCGTCTTTAATCAAGGACTATTTTAATGGAAGATAATACAATGGCATTTGGTAATTTTCAAGATTCATTAATGGTATTTTTGTAATCTCTCATTAATTGAATGTAAAATTCAATTAAATTAGATAAATGTCATGTGTATTAATCATTAAATACTAGAATAATCAAGAGAAATCATCAAATTTTCAGCCAACTTCCTCCTTAAGGCCGAAACATCAAGTTCTCCAAGGTATGAATTTTTAATTTGATTTTCAAGCTTATTTGATTGATTTTTTTATTAAACTATTAGATAGAGAATTAATCTATATAAAATTCTCTATCATTTGGTATCAATATTGTCTGGTGAAGATGCTTGTGTGTTGAGATTTGATGATTATGGTTTAAGGAGGGTTTGGTGATCTTGAAGAATTGATGAATGATTTTTATGTTTTTGATGTTGGTGATTATTTTCAAAGTATGTATAATGATTAAAATTACGTGTACATGCATATATAAGGTTTGGACATACTAGGGTTTGTGAGAATGATGAGATATTGATTCAATTTGATTTTATGATGACTGGAAAAGCATGAATTTAATCATAGGAGATTGAATTCATGCTTGAAATTGAACAAAAAGTTCCCCTTAGGTGACATGCAGCATTCGACCATAGGGAAGAAATTGGAGGAAAAATGTTGAAAAATTTCCTATGGATTAGAAATGATATTAGAAGTACTCTATGTGAATTGGAGATTGATTTGGATCAATTTGGAACATTGAAAGTGCAAAAGGGCTAGTTTACAAGTTTTAAGAATAGTGGGACACTAATGTCTAAATGTGAGTTTTGGGGTGTTCAATGTTAATTATTAATATTGAAATGCTGGAAAATTAAGATTGGAAAGTTGTTTGGAACCAAATTTCAAAATTTGGTAAAATTTGTGGTGGAATTTGAAAAGTCTAAGAAAATATGGGACTTGTTTGCAAGTTATTATATGTAAGACTATCATTTGGGTAAATTATGTTAATGTTGGATATTTGTATTAGTTTGATGATTTTTGGAATTTAATATTGAATTGGGGTTGAATTGCAAGTTTATTAAATTTGATGGTTAAAGTTGAAAAGTCTAAGACAGTTTAGGATGAATTTGCAAGCTTTTGAATGTTTAAGTGTTGATTTGAATGTTTTATGAAAGTGCTGGAATTTCATGTGAATAAAGTGATATGATCATAATAGTGAAGGGTTATTATGAATTTAATGGGAAAATTGAGGTGAATATTAGAAAGAATTCAAAATTTTGGTTTAAATGTGTAATTGGCAAAAGTCGAGGTATTTCAGTTGGAAATAAATATTTATGGAAGCTAAAGAGTATTTTGAGAAGTTTGAATTTTGGATGAAAGTATGACTTAAGTTTTTATCGATTTTTATTTTTTATAGACTTTTATATTTTAAGTTTAAAGTATGATACAAACATATAGTTGAATATTTTATATTATTACATTATGTTGTCAGACTACGATAAAACTAGCGGTCCGAACGACCCGAAAGGAAAGAAAAAAGTACACGAATAAATAAATTGCATATAAAGATTCGGTAGTGAGGCAAAGGTGAATGCAATTTATTTATTTAATTATTTTGATCGAGGACGACTTTCTATAAGTCAACCTCACATTATTTATTTAAAAGATATAAATTATGTTTTGATTATGGAATTATATCAATATTATTTTAATAAGTTTTATGAATGATTTTGGGTATGAACTGCCCATGTCACGTTTTACGAATATGATATGAATATAATTCTGTTTCTGATATGATTTTTATTAAATGATTATGAATTGAAATGAAGCCCATTGTATGTTGTATTGAGAGTCAAAGGTACAATTAGCATGTCATGAGGTGGAGTGATTATATACTGATTTTGATATATTGTGGTGCATCAGTGGGTACACTAGGATATATATTCCGTTGTGATTGCACTTTGTGTGCATATTATGATTTCCGATGTGATAGCACTATGTGCTTATATGTTCCGATTCTGATAATAGTTCTAAGATGCTTATTGCGCATACTCGTCCGACTCACGTACCTTATATTCTCTTAAATATACTTTAGGATGTAAAAATGAAATATAAATGTTTAAAAAGGGTCTGACTGCAAAAGAATGTTGACTGATTATTCTGTCTGATATGACTTATTATGATTTTGTAAAAATCATAATATGGATTTTTTTTCTTCTTTAGGTTTATGATAAAGATACATCATGAGATATCCGGTTTGAAAGTCTGAAAGTTTTGTCTCAATTGTTTTTAAATGTTTTTATATATTTCGATACTATATTTATTTATTCTCACCTTTTGTATTAATGCCTCATTAAGTTGTACTTAGCGCGTGATGGTTTCATGCATAGAGTCTGATAGAGATACATGCATACTGTGAGGAGCCTCCCGAGCATCTTGTGAAGATTATCTATAATATCAGTATCAGTAAGACATAATTGATGTTTCTTTTGACTATAATTGGCATGTATAATTATGTTATTAGTCTGCTTTATATGTTTTTGATTAAATGGTTTATAATCGTAAATTAGGACTGTTTATTTTAACTAGTTTAGTTTATCAATATTTGATATGCATAGAATAATATTATGTTTTTAAATTATATGGAAAATGAAGTAGATATAAATAGTTTTAAAGTTGAAATATGAATATTTTAAAAAATTAAGCAATCGTGAATAGTGAATATTGGTCAGATTGATGTGACGTTTATGGCTCATATTTTTAGATGTTTATGGGCTATGAGTGTTATATTTATTGGTATCAGAGCTACAGGTTTAGTCGATTCTCGGACTAAATCGAGCCTATGTTATATAAAAAATAAGTACATGTCACTAGGATATCGAGCATATATTATATCAAAAACATGGTTTGATGATTTTATTTATGATGCTGCTTCTTATTAATGTAAATTTGTGATTTTGTTTAGATGTCGGATTCAGAAGGCACGAGACAGACCATCGAACAAGAGGTTCCTGAGGGAATCGATAATGGGAGTAGTAATGAAGTAGAGCACATACCTCAATGGTAGAGAGAGTAGGTACATCAGGGAGTGTCGTCTCTAGATCAGGGCATGTTTTTACAGGATTTGGTGGCTATCCTGGCTCGATATCAGCCGAAAGCAGCACCTCCCCCTCCTTTGGCTCCACCTCCTCCTCCAGCTTTGAGAATATATGTTCCGAAAGAATTAAAAAGTTTAGGAGCTGCAGAATTTAATGGCAAAGCAAATGAAGGACCAATAGTGATAGATTTGTGGTTGAATGATGTGAAGAATATGTTGGATAGTCTTCACTATTCTAATGATGAAAGATTGGAGGGAGTAGTTTCATTGTTACGAGGCCAGACTCGTATATGGTGGATGAACGTGAAGACAATTGTTTCTCCAAATCAGATCACTTGGTAGTTTTTCTTAGAGACATTTCAGAAGAAATATATCGGGGAGCAATTTATTACCCTCATGAAGTAGGATTTCTTTAATCTGATCCAGGGTAATAAATATGTATATGAGTATGAGTGCGAGTTTAATAAGCTCGCTACATATGCCTTGGAGATGGTTCTCACTGAGAGAGATATATGTCAAAAGTTTATTCGAGGCCTCCGCCCCAGATTCAGGGAACTTCTATTGACTGCAAACTTGATCACATTTCAAGAACTGGTGAATAAAGCAAAAGACTTAGAAATAGTGAAAAATGAGAATTATATGATAGAGCGAAGATAACAGTCTAAAAGATCAGGAGCAACATCCTCGTCTCAGTCTAAAAGGGGTCGAGGCTCAGGTTATCAGTACTAGAATAAATCTAAAAGTAGTGCTTCTGGTTGTAAAGGATCCAAAGAAAAAGAAAAAGGCCGACAGACTCAGATGACAGACTCAGGACCTAGCAGATCAGCTTAGGCATTGGCTCAGATTTTACCATGTCAGCATTGTGGTAAAACTCACCTTGGAGTTTGTAGAATGAT